AAAAAAGCCACCAAAAATCTTATGCACCAAAAGGGGAAATTTTGGAATTATTACATATTTCCTCAAGGAGATATAACATGTTTGATCGTAAAGTAAAAGTTATTAACATAAAGTAACAATTTACTGGGATCATAGGGCTGGTTTAGGATCATGAAGTTCTGTTTTCTAGCTAAGACTTCTGTCTGTATGAAATAGTTTCTGATTAGGATTCCACAATAAGTAATCGGAGGCGAAAGCCCTTACGAAGTGGTGCAAGATTCCCAGTATTCAGGGGCAGCTATAAAATCAGAACTGGCTTAAGATGTCTCAAAGCAATTTGAATCTACTGAACCAAAGAATTAAGAAAGTTCCCATTGGATGAACAAAATTAAAATAACCATAATACCCTCTTTATAGAGACAATCTAAGTTAGAAAGTTGTCTATATTCATTAAATATTTTTAAAATTTGTATGCCATTACAGCAGAAGTCCTCATAAAACAGTGAAGTGTTGGAGAGAGAGACACTGCCTTTTTATTTTTTTTAATTATTATTATTTTTTTACTTTCAATTTTCTACCTTTGAGTGGGTAAAGTGATACCACTTTCTTTTGCTCGTTTTAATGGAAAATACTTGAGGTTTTCCTTCTCTTACAGGTTTTCCCACCTCACACAGCTCTAGCATTTGCAAAATATTACTGTGCTTCTCTCTATTTCAGGAAAATGTGTTTATGTGCGTATACAATGCCATATGTATTCAACTTACCCTCATGTTGAAGCAGTATTCTTTCCACCAAACTGCTAGAAGTAGCGACATCTACAGGTCGCAGGAGCTCTGTATTTTTAGCATTGATATCAGCTCCAAATTCTAGCAGTAAGTTTACAATTTCTGTATTGGATTGGAAAGCAGCAGCATGCAACGGGGTATCCCAATATTTACCTTTCTGTACATCAGCACCTACATAGGGATAGGAAATGATGAAAAATACAAACAAGAATTACTAGTTGAGTCATTTGCCTCAATGTAGTTATCTCAACAACAACTTATTTATACTTGTCAATTCTGACTTATGGTGACTTTTATAGGACCCTTCGCGAAATGCCCCTGTAGGTCTCCAAGACTGTAACGCTTTACAGGAGTAGAAAGCCCCGTCTTTCTCCCTGGGAGGGCCCGATGTTTTTCAAACTGCAGACCTTGGGGATCACAGCCCAACACACACACACATGTATATAATAATTTCATATATACAGAAGCCCAACCTAGATAAAGTATTAAGAATTATTATATCTATATAAGTGAAAACATTTAATTTTTTTCTCCAGAAGTTTCTGTGTGCTTAAAATATTTCATAAAAGAGAAAAATATGTTGAAATTTTCCAATAGTTCCCTAGGCAATTATATAAATTAAAATTATAAATAGTATACATTTGAGTTTACTCATACATATTTCAGTATATCTATTATGATTGGTTGACTTTAATATCATTCAAGATCTTATTGCTCTCATTCTTTTAAGTCAGCCAGCCCTTTTATTTATTGAAAAACTAATAAATTTATAGAGTAATAAAAATCTAGAGGGTATATGAAATTTTTCTGTCAATTCTCGCACATGTCATATAAGACAACAAAATATAAGGAAACGGACCCTCTTAAATAGAGAAGGAGCAATATTCTGACATGAAAGTAGAATGTGAAAAATGCTTCCCTTAAAAATGAATCCTAAATGTGAAGATGGCTATTGCATATTTATTTTATCTTAGTGCAAGTTCTGTCACATAATGCTCGCTAAGTGCATGTGTAGTGGAAACAGGAGCCTTAATTCCATATTTTCAAAACACACATGGCTTCTTTACAAAACTATGGCATTGCGGCTCCTTTTTCCTGACACTTTAGGAAAAATGGAAGCTCCCTCTTAGAAGCAGTCAGTTTAAAGGTCTCTTTACTGCCATCCTGCTGCTTTCCAATCTCAATAAATGTAATCCTTTTCGATATTATTTAACCAAATACAACATGGTTCGTGAAAAGATGATATTTTATAGCAAAGGAAAGATGAGAGTGTATAAACTCTGATTAAATCAATTTTATGGACGAACAGGGCCTGAAAATAACAATCAATCAACATTTACTTTCAGTGCTCTGTTAAGATATTCTTTTCAGGTAATATACAATGTTGACTAAAAATAGTGAAATTATTAGCAAAACAAAGAAAGGTTATGAAGCACGCAGTCTACTGGTTATATTCAATTTATGGAATAACATGGCCAGAAAATGACAATCACAACAATTTTTATGGAAATAAATCATGATGAAGACTCTTAGTAGGTGTAATGAGAATACAAGATAGAACGTTCCGTCGAAAGAAGTTTATAACCTAAAATAATGTGAAGATAAAAAGTTAAAATAAATAACTCACTGTGTGGCTAAAAGATAGGTATATCAGCATAAATTAGAGACCAAATGACTTTCATAAGTAATAAATAGTACCCATATCCATTTATTCATCTTAATTATACTTTAAGCACTGTGCGAGAAAAAAAGAAACACTAGTAAAGTGTGGAAGAGCAAGGATGTCATTCTGAGGACTCGGGTGTGCCTGACACAGAATCGACTTGATGGTGCCCATCAACATCAACCAATTTTCTAAGGGAGCTCCTTGTCCAATGCAGAGAGAGGCCACGATGATCTTGAAATGTCAGGGGGCAAGCTCTGAGGGGCTTAACCTACATCTTCCTGAGAGTGTCTATTAATAAAAAAAAATTTAAAAACAGGTGAGAAAAAGGCAGGTACAGTTTTTCCAGGTAAGTGGGACAGAAAGTCCAAAATGTGGAAGTATTGGGGTTTATGTTTGAGAGGAGAAATGGCTGCCCGAATAGTTCAGTTCTTGATAGGTGCCCTCAAGTTAGTTCCAGCTCAGAGTGACCCCATTACTAAATGTGACCCTGCCTAGTCCTGCACCATCCTTACGACCATGATTCTCTTTGGGCTTATTCTTGTAGCCTCTGTGCCACTCCATCTCATTAAGGTCTTCCTCTTTTCCTCGGACACTCAACGTTACCAAGTATAATATCCTTCTCGAAGAACTTGGTCTTCTTGATACTATATGCAAAGTTCATGAAACAACATCCCACTGTTAGTCCAGGATGACTAGAGAAACAAATCCAGAGACACTCATATATATATTAGAGAGAACTTTATATCAAGAAGTAATTATTCATTAATAAAACATCCCAGCCCAGTCCAGATCAAGTCCCTCAGTCCGATATTAGCACATTCAATGATGCCAAACGAAGGAAGATCACAGGCTGATGGGTGGAAAGTCCTGTGGGTCCAATGGCAATGGACACACCTCTAGGTCTCTGGCTGCCATCAGCGTGGCTCCATATACTTGTTAACAGGAATGTGAAGCAGAGAGTGTATCCCGCCTCGAGGGTGAAAGAGAAGTTCCCAGAATCTTCATGAGAAGGCCACACCCACTCACAAGGAGAGATCACCAGGCTGTGACCAGATTGACACACCCCTTAATTCTTATTTATCAAGTTGACATGAAGTTGTCTTAACTACCATACCCATCATGCCCATTTCTAACAGATTAATTTGTTTTTCTAGCAATCCATATTACATTCAATATTCTTCACAAACATTATAATTCAGATGCATCAATTCTCCTTTGTTCTTCCATATTTATTGTGCAGGTGTCACATGTATATGAGACTATTGAAAATGCTATCACTTGGGTCAGGCACACCTGAGTCCTTAGAGCAGTGGTTCTCAACCTTCCAAATGCCATGACCCTTTAATACAGTTCCTCGTGTTGCAGTGATCCCCCAACCATAAATTATTTTCATTGCTACTTCATAACTGTAATTTTGCTACTGTTATGAATCAGGTGATCCCTGTGAAAGGGTCATTTGGCCCCCAAAGGGGTTGCGACCCACAGGTTGAGAACCACTGCATTAGAGGCATATAATTTCTCTTTGACACGTTTAATAAGTCTTGTGCATCAGATTGGTTCAATGCAATCCTTTGATTTCTTGATTGCTGATTCCACAAGTATTGATTGTAGATCCAAGTAAAATGAAATCCTTGACAATTCAAATTTTTGATTTATTTTCCTGATGTTACTTATTGGTTCAGTTGCAAAGATTTTTGTTTTCTTTCTGCTGAAGTACAGTCCATACTGAAAGCTATAGTGTTTGATCTCCATCAATACGTGCTCTTCACTTTGAACAACTAAGATTGTGGCATCTGCATACTGAAAGTTCTAAATGAATTTTCCTTCAGTCTTGTTTCTATGTTCTTCTTCCTATAGTCCAGCTTCTCAGACCAGTCAGCATACAGATTGAACAAGTATGGTGAGAGGATACAATCCTGATACACACCTCTCCTGATTTTAAACCATTCAATACCCTCTTGTTTTGCTTAAATGATTGCCTCTTGGTCCATGTACAGATTCCCTATGAGCACAAGTAAGCATTCTGAAATCCTCATTCTTTTCAATGCTTTTTATAGTATGGTATCTCCATACTGTCTAATATCTTTTCATAGTAAAATAAAGTACAGGTGAGCACCTTTGTGGTAGTCTCTGCTTTTAGCCAAGATCCATAGCCACAAGGATAGCTCTCACTCCATTCTATTGCAAGTCCTCTTTAAAATATGTTTCATTTTCTAAGGGCTCCTTATTGATCTGTTGCTGCAACTGTTTGGGGATGAGTTAGAAAAACTTTTGTTGTGGTATTAATGACAATGTCCAATAATTTCCACATGCTTTTGAACTACCTTTCTTTAGAATAGCACAAATATGAATCTCCTCAAGTGGGTTGGTCAAGTAGCTGTCTTCCATATTTCATGGCACAGACACACGAGCACTTTCAGCGTTGCAACCGTTTTTTAAGCATCTCAACTGGTATTCTGTCAGCTCCTGGATCCTTGGTTTTCGCTAATGCCCTCAGTGCAGCTTGGACTTGTTCCTTCAATAGCATCAGGTTCTTGATTATATGGTAACTCCTGCCATTGTTGAAAAATCACCAACTCTTTGTAGTATAGTCACTCTGTATTCCTTCCCTCTGAAGCTACAGCTGTCCATCATTTCCAGATAAATTAATCCAGGAGCACTGTAATGAGGACTCTTGCAATAAAGACCATTGTAATAAGGGCCATTGTAAGAAAATGAAATGAAATTTTTGAAGTCATCGAGAAAATGATGTGATCTGCATTGGGGAAAACGTTGCATTTTTAGGGGAGGAAATATGTTTCTTATCTCTCACTGAAAATATGAATTGTATGTGGACATATACAACATAAAAATATCAAGAATTTATATCATCACTAAGTCTTATGGTCAACATTAAGTTATTAGTAGTTAAGTTTTGGGTGAATCAAAAGTTGGATGAGGATTCTTGACTCTATAGTGGATTCATACCCCTGACTCCCCATTGTTTGAGTCAACTGTGTATATTCATATATTTAGTAATGTCAAAGATGCACAGCACTGGTCAAATCTGCTTTACAAGGCCTCTATAAAATGGTAAAGAGCATAGATATGACTCTTGAGACTGAGCAGTACCTGGCCTCATCTGCACAGGAAAGTTGGAAAATGAGTAAGGAAGACAGATTAATTGATATATTGAAGTGTGGTGTTAGTAGAGAATATCGGAAGTACCAAGGACTGAAAGAAGAGCCAATGAATCTGATTTGGAAGCAGTCCAATCAGAATGTCCCTTAGAAGCCAGCATTGTGGGACTTCATGTCCTGTACTTCAGACATGTTATCAGTCCATTCAAGTCCCTGGAGAAGGGCTTGGTAGAGGGGCAGGAAGAGGATAACTCTCTGTGAGATGAATTGACCAGTGGCTGCAAGAACGACCTCCAGCACAAACAATTAGAGACGGCATCTGTCCCTCCTCCCATCAAGTTGATGCTGCCTCATTGCAACCCTATAGGATAGAATAGAACTGCCCCTGTGGGTTTCAGAGACTGTAACTCTTTCAGAGAGTAGAAAGCCTCCTCTTCTTCACAAAGACTGGTGGGTGGCTTTGAACTGTTGCCCTTTCAATTAGCAGCCCAATTCATAACCACGACACCACAGGGCTCTTACCTCTTGCCAGTTAAGAATAATCTGTTTTGGATGGCACAGGACTGGGAAAAGTTTTGTTCTGTTGTGCATAGGGTCTCAATAAGTGAGAGATAACTCAAAATACCTAACAACATGTATTCATTTATGAACTCAGAGATGAAGGAGAGTTCTCATGGATAGCACATATTTTGAGGGTCTTACACATTTATATATGAGAAGGCTTTTTTTCAATAAGAATATTTTTGTAACAAACCCAATCCAAAGAGACTTCCATGGAATTGCCTTTGATTCATACTGCCAGTTTAAGACAGGGTAGAACCGCTCCATAGTGTGTACCCGGATGTACACAGCTTTCATTGATGGCACAGCAAACTACCGTATATACTGGAGCATAAGCCAACCCAAATATCAGCTGTGTCACCTCATTTTACCACAAAGACTGCATAAAAAATGTGCAAAAAAATCGGCTTATACACAAGTATGTACGGTAAATATAAAGGTGAATATTTGTGTGAATAGAAAGCATTTTAAAGAAAAATACCTGCATAAAGAAGTTTCCTGACGCAGTGGAATTGTTGTGCCATACAAGCTACATACAGTGGAGTTCCCAAATGAGGAATGTCTTGGTCAACATCTATGCCCCAGGATATCAGAATTCCTAGACATTCATGGTGACCTGTCGATTCAAAGGAGGAATAATAATAATAAACTTAATAGCAAATGTCCCCCAACACAACCCCTCTTGCCCCCAAATGTCTTCGCTATAGTGCTATTTATGGAAAGGTAACTGGAACACTGCATGCTGCTGAAGAAAGTTTCTCCCCAAGTCACTGAATCTCATAACTACGTTACCTTTACTGGCAGCCTCGTGCGTGGAAGAAGGAAGACATGACTCCAGTTGCGCTTTGGCACCATATTCTAAAAGAAGTTCCGTACAACTTGAACTTCCTTGTGAACATGCATTGAATAACGGAGACACGCCATCTATTGTGATTGCATTGACCTAAACCAACCAAAAATCCGAGAGTGAAATTTCTAGGGTTGCTTATGATTAACTGACTTCATTGCACCTTTAAAATACTGTGCCATCTGTTGTGTCATTTTGGAAGATAGGTCAGAGTATATTTATCTCATACATTAATAAGGACCAGGAAGTTTTTCGACCTGTTTCATTTCTGTGAGTTGGAACTGACTCAGTGATGGCCAAACGCAACAAACAACGTCAATAAGGACAACCTTAGGATTTCAAGATGTAATCAATCAGACAAACACTGGAGTAAAATACTTTTACTAGTTGCATAGTCACTCATGTAACTTAAATAAATGCTTTGAAATTGGTCTTAAAAAAACCATGAGAATCAATTATCAGTAAAAGCAGGAAGAAGAAAAATTGCAATACTGATGAAATTGTGATGAAACTCTTTGCAGTTTAATTTGGTCAAATTGATCATTCCGTTTATGAGAATTTACCTAGAGAAAAATGTGGAATCATCAAATAGATGGCAAAGGTATCAAATGGAAATATATCCATCTATTTTTATTTAGAGTAATGAAAATGGGAAATAACCTAAAGGATAGTGCATATTCTAATGCAGCATGCTCCCCATTTTTGCAATTATGAGGAATCCTTCTCAGAGTATAATGATTAGGATGAAACAATTAAAGAGATTTATTTGGTTAATTTTGAACACTACTAAGAAACAAAAAGAAGGAAGGCGGTTGGAAAAAAGGATGAAATAAGATAATTGTGTTCAGCTCTTAGGCAATAGATTCAAAAGCTTTAATATTTTCCAAAGAGACTTACATTAGCTCCGGCTTCCAGAAGAGTCCGCGCACATGCCACATGATCTCCAAGGCAGGCTTCATGTAATGGGGTGATATGGTCTATGGTTACTGCATTTACATTGTAGCCCTAAAAATAAAAAGTGAAGGGGAAATGCACGTGGATTAAGACTCTGGTGAAGTCCCTCTGACCATGGACCTGGATGTCAATAGCCTTCCTATGACGCAGAATGTCTTGGGAAGTAGATTCTTGCAGACGCAGTTAGGTTAACATTTAGCACTTCACTATTGGATTTCCTTTATGGTACATTTTAAATGTGTTCTAGGTTTTAATATGTTCCTCTTTCTTTTAGAGTTTTTATTTGTTTTACTATAGGATCACTATGAATTGAAATCAATTCTATGGCAGTAAATTTGAGTTTTTAGGTACTGATATAAAATTAAGGTCAGCCTAGCCTAAGCATAAACAAAAGTTCAAAAATTGTAATAAGCTGCCTTATAAATTTTTGTCACTTAATAGATGTGATTAAGTTATGTGTTGAGGTTAAGAACTCTGGATGTGGGGTCAGTTAGACTTATACTTGTATTCTAGTTTGACTACACAACAACTGTGCTTAATTTGAACAAGTAACTTAACATCTAAATCTAAGGATTATCATGAGGATTAAATAAGATGATATCTGTCAAGCCATTATTACCATAATGCCAGCATATAAAAAATGCTTACAATTTGATTTATCATTGTTCCATAATAACTAAGTGAACATTTCTAAAATGTTTGTTGCACTTTAAGAAATATCCAACTACAATAATTAGAGCTATAGATTTTTCTTTCCCTTCTTGCTATCTTTTGTGATCTACTATCTACCTGCAATAATATTCATGGCTTAATCCCCGTAGTATAGATTCAACAAACTTGATGCCAGAAGGGATATGAAGAAGCTCAAAGTAAAAGCAGGCAATCATATTATCAATCACCTATCCAAAGATGATGCTTGCCACAAGCAAGCGGCAACTTGTGAGATTCCTTAAGTTAGACTTTCAATGATTTTAGGCGGGCTAGCAGCAGTCACTCTTGGGCACTCACCCCTCGCACTCACACACGTTAGGACAGAGCATCTGAATGGCTTGAGGCTTCCTTTCCCATAGGGATTTGGGGCAGCCTAGGACTTTCCTGGGCTGGTCCGCTGATGGACATGAGATACATGCTGAGAAATAATCTAACCCTGCTTTCCTCTCAAAGAACTGCACGATCCTTTCCAAGGTATTACCCTTTTCTTAATTACTGACCTTTTTATGAGCATGGATTTGTTTTTCCACTAAGTGATGAGCAAAGCAAAATAGTCACATGGTCAGACTGGAAGGGAGCATCTTGTCCATCACCTTCATTTTAAAGAGGAGAAAGTGAAGGCTCACATAGGTTCTGATCTTCAAGTGCCTGCCTGGCATCCCGGACTCCTGAGCCCCGTGGTAACACATGTCAGATTACCCAGTAACACAATAAACACGGCATTGCTGGACTGACTGACTCATCTCTAGTGAACAACCCCCCCGCCCCCCATTTTTTTAACCATATCAAAGGTTCTGTTTTCAGGTGCGGTGGCCTCTTTCTCTCCCCATCACACAGTACCCTTCTCCAGAAGAAAAGTCTCTTTACAAATGTGCTCCTTGGACAGGGAATGGGCACTGGGTTATACATTGAACTGCTAACCAAAGGGTCAGCAGTTCAACCCCACCAGCCACTCTTGGGAGAAAGATGATGCTATTTGCTCCCATAAAGGTTTACAGTCTCAGAAACCTGGGAGAGCAAGTGAGTATCAACTCAACGATGGTTGATTTGGTTTGTTTAGACAGGGACAGAATATACAGTAAGCAGGGTAGCCATTGTTTTACTTAGCTTCATTCACTAATCTGAAGTGTATAGTTTCCTGATGTGTAGCAAACCATTTCACATGTTTTTCACATCCAGCAAAACCCATGTGACATTATTCACTACAGATGAGCAACGAAGCGCAAGTATGCTTGCGCTTGCCTTGACTGTTGGGTACTCTGCTCCTGGGAGTACTAGTTCCTTCCTCACAGACAGGTGAGAAAGTGGTTTTCTTCTTAACACTGGTAAGCATGAGGGCCGTGTTCTCCAGAGTGGGGTGTATGTCTATTTGAATCATACTGGAATCTTACAAAGAATGGAAAAGCCCATGCCAGGAGGTTGTCTCATTCAACCAACAATATTTATTTTGCTTTTTGGCATTTCCATTTTTCCTCTGATGATTCTGAGCAGGTGAAGGAAGGAAGTGATTGTTCTATTAGTCTTCTTAGTCAAATCCCTGAAGCATATGACATATTACCATCATAAAAATTTTTTTCTAAATATTGAGGATCTGGTCTGATTACCTCTTTTTTGAATGTTTTATGACTGTGTTAAATCTGCAGTTAGCTAGATAGTGTGCACATTATGCAAAGTTAAGCATACTTAGCAGGCTTACGAATTATACATAGATGTGAGCACTACTTGAATACATCTTCAATATTGTATCAGAAATTTGAAATACCAAGAAATAAGATTATAATAAAATATTCTAAAGAAGTTTCAAAGATAAATAAACAATTTGCTGATATGAGTTAAAAGCAAAGGGCTGTAGTAGAATTTTTCCACAATCTCTTTTTCATATCTAAATCAAGTTACTTAGACACCTGACGCTATATACTCATGCGGGAAGGCATACTTTTGGTTCTATGAAATACGTTACCTGTGATAATAGTGTTCTCAGAGCAAGAAGACGACCTTGACTCGCTGCTTCATGGAGTGGTGATCGATCTGCCCAGGAACCTGTTAAAAAAGAAGAAAGAAAACAAAAATCTCTGAGTCAAAGCGAACCTTAATACAAACAATTGATTTCTATGTAATACAAACTATTCAAATTCTGTGTTCAACAAGATACCTGTAAAAGTACTAGGACAATTGCTTCTTACTTGAAATATCAAGAAACCAATTATTCTAACCAAGAAACCACATTGCATCCTTTGGCTTGCCTTTCACTGCAGGCTAAGTATTACCTGTCTCAGAGGTCTTTCCTGGAGCAAAGATGAGGCTGGGTTTGTGGCAATAGGCAACAGAATGTTCAACGATTCAAACACACTGCAATGACAATCAACTCATGGCACGTTCGGCCTTGGAGTAGTCCTACTTTGTAGTAACTTGTTTTACTATAGCCAGCAAATAGTATGGATTATATTTAGGTTAAAACTTATAAAGAATATCCTTTATAAATGTAAACTGTCCTCTAAAACCCATAGATTCAAGTATGTGAAGATTCAACTAATTTTAGGTCTATGCGTTGACCTCTAAGTAGATAGACCACAAGAAATGCTTTCTCAGGGTCTGCCAGCTCTCATCAAGAATTTCAATTCATAATATTTGTAGTCTGGTCTTTTTCCGCAAGAGTATATGCTCAGTCCTCATTTAAAGCTCAAGTTTTCCTATTACTCTGAACGTTCTGGAGTGGGTATGAAGAAATCAGTTTCAGCAATTTGAACTTCCTTTCACACACACAGATTGTATTACATGGTTACCCCAAGGTCAGATAAGCTAAAACCACCAATAAACACACCACTATAGTACAACCAACTTTCCTTCACAAGGGTTCTGAATGTATTTAGCGGGCTATGTTTCAAATGTATGTGATGAATAAAACAGTTTCTTGTGGCAACATTAGGTGCTTTGATCATGTTATATTTTCTCCTTCAAAAGATAAAGAAACCTCACTTCATCAATTGAAAGTATTCAAACATATTTTTAAATGAGACCTCATATTTCAATTCCCAGAAAACACTGGAAATTGAGCAAAACTAATAATTTCTTTAGAAAGTATGAAAGAAAGAATACACTTAGGATATGTTAACTGAAAGGACTGAAGAAAAATTCAAGCCTCAAGTTTTAATATTGAAGAATTCTATTGGCCAAATAGTGACTGATGCAGGAAAAAACAAAAGACAATGGAAGAAATACACAGAGTTACCTTACCAAAGATAACTGGTTAACATTCAAACATTTCAAGAGATAGCATATGATCAGCAACCAAAGATACCTAAGGAAGAAATCCAGGCTTCATTGATGGCAATAGCAAAAACCAAGGCTCCAGGAATTGACTGAATACCAACTGAAATGTGCCAACAAGCAGGTAGATGCAAGCACTCACTTATCTATGTCAAGAAATTTAGCAGATAGCTAACTGACCAGCTGACTGGAAGACATCCATGTTTGTGCCCATTCCAAAGAAAGGTGATCCAACACAATGACAAAACAGCAAACAAACAAGGACTCCAGTATAGATTACAGCTCACTGTAATACACACACACACACACACACACACACACACACATACATATATACATATATATCCACACAAATGGATTACTATGTAACATCATGATAAACAGTGAAAAGACTGAAGACATGGATTTCATCTTGCTTGGATCCACAAGAGTCTTCATGAAAGCAATAGTACAGAGATCAAAGGACACACTCCTTTGTATACATCTGCTGTACAAGACCTCTTTAACAGTATTGCAGAGCAAAGACGTTCCTTTTAAGAATAAGGTGTGCCTGACCCAAGTCATGGTATTTTCAATTGTGTGAATATGAAAGTTGGACACGGAATAAGGAAGAGCACACAGATTTGATGCATTCGAACTATAGTGCTGGTGAAAAATATCGAAAGTCCCGTGAGCTGCCAGAATAAACATATATTTTTCTTGGAAAAAGTAGAGCCAGATGCTCCTTAGAAGCGAAGATGGAGAGACTTAGTCTCACGTACTTTGGAAATGTTATCAGAAGAGATTAGTTCCTGGAAAAATATATCATGCTTGATAAAACCAAATATCAATGACAAAGAGGGAGGTGATCTAGAAACTGGATGACACAGTGGCTGCAACCATTGGCCCAAACATAACAGCGGCAAGGATGGCCCATACTGGGCAGTATTTCGTTCTGTTACACGTAGGAGCACTTTGAGTAGGAATCTACTTGATAGCACCTGATGCCAAGAGTTTCTTTATTCATAACCTGATAGGCCTGTATTAAAAGAGGGAAAACTAAACAAAACAGAACACACTGACTTAGCCCTTCCTCATCTACCAGGCTCTGTCTAGTCACTAGATGTGTTAAATCAGCCAGACGCATTAAGAAAGGTACTTTTCTTATCTCTCTTTTCCAGGTGAAGAAATTGAGGCACAGTGATGTTTGTTAACTATCCCAAGATCACACAAGTATAAGGAAAATTGATGCACCATTAAAACTCCTCTCCTAACTGCAGAGCTGCTGCTTTTAACACTCTGTAATTCTGCCTCTCAAAAACACCTCCCCAGACCCTCCCCCGCCACACACACACACACACACACACACACACACACACACATAGTGACACGCGCACACATGCACAGTATGCTAAGCATTTTAATTGCTGGTAATACAATAAATTTCTGTTGGACTCCTTCGTTGCTGTCATTTTCTTCATGAAATGAAGAAAATTCCTCTTTTCACTTCTCAGTGCCACCGAGTTGATGCCAACTCATAGCAACTCTGTAGGGCACGGTATAACTGCCCCTGTGTTTTCAAAACTGGAACTCTCTACAGTGGTGGAAGCCTCATGTTTCTCCCATGGAGCAGCTGGCGGTTTTAAACCACCTACCTTGAAGTTAGCAGCCCATCTTGTAAGCACTATAGCCTCAGGAGTCCTATAAGAACTCCCTGGGTGACTCAGATGGCTGAGCCCTTGACTTCTGGCTGGAATGTTGCTGGTGGCAATCCACTTAGGAGCCTCAGCAGACAGAGCTAGTGATCTGCCTCTGAAAGGTCATGGCCATGGAAACTCCGAGGAGCACAGTTGTGCCAGACACCTGAGAGGTCACCTTGAATCGTGAATCTTAGCCTGAATTGACTCAATAGCAGCTAACAACAACAGTCTAAGAAATAATTTAGTTTAGTTTATTATTTACAAAACTAGAATGCAGTCACTGTGGTAGGCTACAATTTTGTATACACCAATAATGTCAGAGTTGGTCTATAGAAGTGAAAATAAATGACTCATCGTAAGGAACTCAAAGCTACAGATGGATTCTAAATTTTGGTCAAATTATAGTTAATAAAGGATCCCAAGTGGCATAGTACTAACTATTTGGGCCGTGATTCTCCTGGTCAGCAGTTCAAAACCATCAGTGGCTCCACGGGAGATAGAGGGAGCTTTCTACTCCTGTAAGGAGTCACAGTCTTAGAAACTCCAGGGGCCCTTCTACCCTGTCCTGTAGGGTCGGTGTGAGTTGGCATTGACTCAATGGCAGTGTTTGTTTATTTATGTTAATAAAGTGGGGTCGTAGATGATCAGTTAAAAAATGGAAAGCCCTCAACACGAGGAATTGACACCTAGCTCCTGTGATGGGCGCAAGCACAGTAAGGGTGGTGAGGGCAGGGCGGAGCAGGCAGTGCTTCTTGAGGAACGGGAGACAAATCAGCAGCGCCTGTAGCAATAACATAGTGGGCGGCAAATTAAAAAGGTTTTCCAATAGTTTTGGTTTGCTTTTAGATATCCATAAACTTTAATTGTGTGCAAGTCCTTCTTGATTTTCTCCTACACTTTAGAAATATAACCTGTTTCATTCAGGTTCCCTTTCACTGAATTGTTTTTCTGCACTTTGGTTGCAGAAGCAAAAAGACAATGAAATATAACTCTCACCAAGTATTTAAAGGGAAGAGAGAAGGCAACTCCCAGGGTAGAGGTTGCCCACGGTATCTTATACTAATGTGTATCTGGAGTCCCAGGACAGCGATCATTGGGTTTCAAATAAAGCACTCTCGGAGTCTCAAAGCAAGAGTCAATTACATTGCCACTCTCTGTGTGTGGACTTAAGTTTCCAGCCAGCACTACTTCTGGCTCATCTAGAACAATGAGTAAGCCAGGCACTCAACTTTGCATTTTTAGTTGAAAAAAGAGTAAGCTATTAGCTTTTGTGTACTGTTTTTCCTTTCCAATATGGAAAGCCCTATTATATATTAAAGACAGAATTGCAGTGTTGCACACCAATATGAATATATGCTGGGAGGGCAAAATTCAGTGGCAAACTAATAACTCATGAGAAATTGGAACATTATGGTCTCAGTAAATGGCAATATTCATTATCATAAGTAATATACTTGTGGGAATGACTATGTTTCCAGTTCCAGCTCTTAAGGAGAAATTTGATACTTTCAAAATTATACACATCTATTATTTTATCGCTAAAGTAAGCAAGCTGATTGCAGAGTGAGACTCAATTTTTATTAAAGAAAGATAATTAAGAAAATATGAAAATAAGTAGGTTAATATTCCAAATAGGCAACAAATATGAGACTACTTTGTTCATTTGATCGGCAGAGAAACAATAAATCAGTAATTATTTAAGTAATCATTAAGTGATGATACATAAATATATGTTTCAATGTAAATAATCACAATATTTATAAGGCTCATGCCACTTGTCCTGTATAATACACTTCAGCATCCTTAATTTATTTCTTAAAGAATGTGTCCTGAATTTTAGGGTGATGATTCATTGTCCATCGCTGCCAGGGAGGTGGTGCTGACTCACAGCGACACTCTGTGGGTCTCAGATGACAACTGTTTACAGGAGCAGAAAGCCCAGGCTTTCTCCCACGGAGCTGGCTGCCTGCGGTTTCAAACTACCATCCAAGCAGATCGTAGCCCAGCTCATCGTAGCCACTAAGCCATCAAGGCTCCGTGCACTGCCTCTAGCTAACAGTAATTAGCCGGAGGCTGAGACTGGAAAAGGCAGAG